TGTGAGCCATGCGAGAAGTTCAGTCTCACGACTCGCATACCCGCGCGTATGAGCTCCACCAGAACCTCGGGCTTGTTCGAGGCCGGTCCAACGGTGCAGATGATGCCACTGAGGGGAAATCCGGAGCAGGGTGCATTGAACTGCAGTCGCGACTGATACTCCAGCTGGGTGGCAAAGGGTCCGCGATCCAGCCGCACCAACGGGGAAGCGCCCTGAGTCAGCCGAAGGAAGAGAGGGATACAGATTATCCCCAGGCGGAGGTGGCGAAACGTACCTTCTGAGCATTACCCGCATAGCTGCAGGAACGGGTGGCAGACCACGCCGTTTGACACGGAGGCGTCGCCGCTCTCCGCGTTAGAAATCCAACAAATAGTGCAATTTTGAACAAATTTTGGATACAAAGACAAAATTGAGTTCGATTTGTGTTTAGATTGGAATGAAAAATCAAACCACAAAGGCAAAGCAAACTGCTTTTCGATCTTCTCAATCTAAAGTTATTGGGAGGGTAGTCTATAGATAATTATTTCACGATTAACCACATACATACATGATTAGAATTTATTATTCCCCTTGAAGAACATTTCTATATTATTCAACAGTGATAAATTAAATTTGTGTGTGTCCGGCGGCCTGCGGCGGCGCTTTGACAGCGGTTCCAATATGCGCAATTAATAAATTAACTTGGTTATTAACATTAATCAATGCGACGCCAGCTACTGCGGCTGCTGCTGCTGCTGCTGCTACTGCGACGCATCAAGGTACTTCCTCAGCGAACAGATTTATTCGACGGCACTGCAATCAGTTGGGAGAATATTAGTTGGGAATCTCATTTACTATGCATCTCAATGCCACTTACACAATGCGAATGGTGTTGGTGAAGCCGGAGCCCTGCTTCCAGCCTGTGACAACGACCACGGCATCACCGGCCTTGATGAAGCCGTTCTTCTTGCCAACCTGGACACCGAACTGGACACGCTGGTCCACATCCTTCAGCCAGTCGCTCTGTGCTGGCTCTGCACAAAAGAGAGAAAATGATTAGTAACATTTTAGGGTGCACATTGCATACACTTACCCTTGTAGATGAGGGGCACCAGGCCACGGTAGAGATGAGCCTGTCGTGCCGTCTGGGGCTGACGAGTGACGGCAATGATGGGGCAGCGTGGGCGGTACTTGCTCACTTGGAAGGCAGACTTTCCGCTGGTGGTGATCACCACAATGGCGGCAGCCTTGGCCTTGGTGGCGGCCTCAACGGCAGCAATGGCAGCAGCATGGGCAGCATCCAAGACGGCGACGCCCTTCACCAGATCGGCAAACAGATTCGCATGCCAGAGGGCAGCTTCGGCCTCCTTGCAGGTCTTCGCCATGGTCAGGACACACTCCAGGGGGTACTCGCCCTTGGCTGTCTCGCCGGACAACATGACGCAGTCGGCGCCATCGAGCACAGCATTGGCCACATCAGAGATCTCAGCGCGAGTGGGGCGGGGCTTCTTCACCATGGACTCCAACATCTGGGTGGCGCAGATAACGGGCTTGCCGGCCTTGTTGCAGCGGGCAATCATGGCCTTTTGGGCCAGGAACACCTTCTCGGCTGGGATCTCAATGCCCAAATCACCGCGAGCCACCATGATGCCGTCTCCGGCCTCGATAATCTCATCCAGATTGTGCATGCCCTGCTGGTTCTCGATCTTCGAGATGATCTTGATGTTCTTTCCCTTCTCGCCCAGCACCTTGCGGATCTCAGCGAGAGCGGCGGCATTGCGGATGAACGAGGCAAACACCATGTCGACATCCTGCTCCACACCAAACTGCAGATCGGACTTGTCCTTCTCGGACACGGCGGGCAGATCCACCGGCACGCCGGGCAGATTGACGCCCTTGCGGGAGCCCAGAGAGCCACCGTTCTCCACCTCGCAGGTGACCGAGTCCTTGGTCACCTCGCGCACCACCAAAGAGATGAGGCCGTCATCGACGAAGATGTGGTTGCCGGGCTTGACAACCTTCACGATGTTCTCGTAGTCCACATAGACCACCTCCAGGGAGCCCTTCTCCAGGAAGTCCTTGTTGGTGGACAGCTTGATGGTCTCGCCCTTCTTGAGCTCGATCTCGGCGGTGCCGCTGCCGCCAATGAGACCAGTACGGATCTCGGGTCCCTTGGTGTCCAGGGCAATGGCCACGGGGTGCTCGTAGCCGAGCTTGGCCGAGTAGTTCTTCACCGCCTGGCGGACATTGGCCACCGTCTGGGCGTGATACTCGTGGGAGCCGTGCGAGAAGTTCATGCGGGCAATGTTCATGCCGGTGGCCATCATCTTCTCCAACATCTCGACGCTGCTCGAGGCCGGGCCGATGGTGCACACGATGCCGGACAGACGCACATGGGGAATCGGTGAGTCGAACTGCAGGCGGCACATGTGCTCCAATTGGGTATCAGCTGCGGCTGCCATGTTTTGTGGTACTTGATTGGGCTGCAAGAACGAAAGAGACACACGAAAACGGATTTAATTAGTGAAAATTCAAGGACAGTTCCCGCGCTTCGTTATCGGCATTCGTTACCCGAAACACCCCCATCCTAATGAGTGATAGTTCAGATATATCAGTCATATCTGTCGTTTTTCGACTGATGGATGTGCGATGAATGCTGCATGCTGGTGGGGTGAGAGTGCGTGAAAGCATGAGAGAGCGCAAGAGAGCCGCCGCCCGTGGGCGGAAGAGCGTTCCTGCATCGGCGCTGACGCTGGCGCTGGCACTGCATCGCCGAAGGTCAGTTCTGCCGACCGAGACCGAGACGAGGGAGGCGACTACTCGTATATTTTTGCAGCTGCAGCCGCAGCCGCAACGAAACCGTTGCATAATTCGTTAATTTTCGTTTGTTCTTGGCAATCTACTGATATCGGGCAGCCGCCAGTTGACTGATTATGTGTACATGCACTGCCTAATTTTGTATATCTTTATGGATCAAAACGTAACAGCACTGGGCTGGCGTGGGGGGCTGGGGAAGAGTTATTCACAAATACCTTCAGCTGGGGCGCCTCATCGTATATGGTTACGTTCACCATATTGTTGCCTACTTGGTTAGCAGCAGTATTGAACAAACGACAGTTGGGATATTTTGCAACGAGCACACGCACAGCAGAAACGGAGACAGCAAAAGCAGAAGCAACCCGAAATGAGGCTAAAATTGTGGATGCCGCCGACTGCTTTGTTCAGGACGAGGAAAAATTTTCGAATGCGGCGGCAGAGAACTTTTTTTTGTGGCCTAGTGGAAAATTTATCGGGTTGCAGCAGCTTTGTGCTTCGGAAATGTCGGTAACACACGAGGACAAACGAATTCGCAAGAGCAACAGGCACAAACAACCAACCCTAAAAAGCCAACACCGAGAGAAGCAAAACGGTACAATGCTCGTACAAGTTTATCCAAGGCAAAGAAAGAGAGAAGAGCGCAAAGCTTTAAAGGTTTATGGCTTGTTGTTAGCCGGTGGCCAGAAGGTTCAACGAATCTTCGAGTGTTTAATATTTTGTATATGAACATACAAATACATTTCTATATATATTTTATTTCGCTTGTATAAGTGTAAACAAAACACGTATCAGCTGTTTCGACGATTATCAGCCGGCGGCAAAATGTCCCAGTCTGCTACTGACCTTGAAATAGAATTATTAATCTCTTCCACAAATCCAAAAATATCAAAGCCCTCTTTCTCTCTCAGCGGTCATTATGCAAGTGCGTGAGCATATTCATATCTATGCATGTGTGGGTGCATTTACTCGTGAGCGGCACGCTTTCTGCGCGTGAAATGAAAGCTTTTTCTTTTAAGTGAACAGCTTTCATCGCAGGGATAAACGATAAACGAAAGTGAAAGCACTTTCCACCACACAAACTGCGGATTTGCCCTTGAACTTGCCCCGCAAAGGACGTTGGCACCATGGAATAAAACCGGCATTTCCGTAGATTGTATGTACATATGTAAATTACTCATCTCTGTTACCACTACCACCGTCATAGATGGCACATACATATGTGTACACAGAGATATGTACATACATACGAACATACAATGTATAATAAATTACCGATAAGACTGTTCGATGGAAGTTTTACAATAATTAGACAGCTTCAAGATTATTGCTGCATTTCCCGATGGCGTGTTTCACTGTATGTGTCGGTATGGCAATTTCGCTGTGTGCGTGCTTTCTATGGAATGACTTCTATTTCACCTTTACATATTTTTCTGCCCGCCACAGTGGCCGGCTGACATGGACGGACGCGACTGTGCGGATCGCGTTTATCTTTGTGTGAGTGTGGAAGCGAAACTTAGCGTTCCACATAATATGGAGAAACAGCTTGCATCATCATCATCAACAACAGTGAATCTGTGCTAAAACCCGCTAATTTTTCGCAATATGCAAATGGAGCTTGAAATACTGTAACAGCAGTGATAGTAAACTACTGCACTTCGATATTTACCTGGTTTTACAAAGGGAAACTAAGAGCTTTGTGAAAGAGGTATTTGCTCTTCCTGTTTTGGAATTAATTCAATTTACTTAAATGCACAGGCTACGAATACTCAAAACGCGCTGCTCGTAGGGGTTTCTGAATCGCGAATGTTGGGGCCTTCTCTTTTCGCTCGACCGGCGCCAGAATTTTTACTGAGCTTTTATAGTTGTAGCAGCCCTGTTATCAGTGTTGCCAATATTTTTGAGCTGGCTTGTACCACTAATATACTATTTGGTTAGTGCTTCTACAAAGAAACAGAAAAGCTGAAGAAAAAAATATGGAAAAAACGAATTAACATTATTTTTCATTGTAATTTTCTTAATCTGGACCTACCGCTGACCACTGGTTTTAATATTTTCCCATCATTTGACTTGGAAAAAAGCTAGATCTTAAAGCTGATTTTGCAATTTTACATGTTATCCAGCCCTTCGTCAAGAGCTATTTCAGTGGAGCTGTTGCAGCAGCCCTGGAAAATACCACTACATCTAGTATGTGGACGTTGTAAGCTTTTGCCATCTAGCATTTTTAGCTTATTTAGTCAAAATTTGAAATGAGAAATGGTTGTGGGGGCATTCCCAATAGCAAAACTCGGTCTTTTGTGCATAAAGCACATCAGTAAGCCTGTCAGCAACGTTATCAAACAATATGCTAACAAGAATAATGCCTTTAGAATCTATGTAGTTGCACCGCCGGCCACCTGTGAGTAGTATTATTTGTGAGGAACATTAATTTTATGTGTTCGTTCCCAGTGTACAACACCATCGAAGTTCGCTCGAAGCTGTGGATGCTGGGAATAGGACAGCCGAAGCGGGTTCCGCCCCTGACCCGAGCCATGTCCATCAAAATGGGTGGCGAAATACTCGGCGAGCTTTTCATTTTTCTGATCGGCGTTTCCTTCATATTGAACGAGTTTGCAAGGTTTTTACTTCTACGGAGAGAGAGAGAGAGAGAGGGTAGATTAGAGTTTTAAAATACCGTTCCTTAGGCAAGCGAGAAACAGCGAGAAGAAACATGAAAGGCACAAGCAGAAGAGAGAGGAGCTGAATAACCGAATCGTTGAATTGAATGAGCGAATTGCGCGCCAAGACAAAGAAATTATTAATCTCAAAACCAAAATGAAACATCTAATCGATGCGACTTGATCTGAGTAGGCTACGCTTAGCCAATTCTTCAAAATTAAGTCCCAAATTTTAAGTTTTTAAGATGGCAATTGGCACATTTCCGATTGGCAAGGTCTTCATTTTCACCATGAAGCAACTGAGCAGACCGGTTAGCAATTTATTGAAGAGCTATGCCAAACACCATCCCATCTTTAGGCGGATCGTTTGCATACCCCCGGGACAGTTGTACAACAACTTGGAGGTTCGTTTGAAGTTGCATTTTCTGAAACTGAAGCAACCGAAGCGAGTGCCGCGTCTGACAACCGCCATGGCGACGAAAGTCGGTGCAGATTTGCTGGGTGAGGTTATTGTGACGATCATTGGAGTGTACCTGCTGTACTATGAGTTTTCACGGTAAGCAAAGAGCTACACTGTCGAGCAAATAAATATTTATCTAATGTCCACTGGTCATTGTGCGTTTTGTAGGCAAAGGCTGAAGGACGAAAAGAAGCACATCCGGCACAGAGAGCAGAGGATGCTGTTGGTGGAAAAGATCGGAAGCCTGGACACAAATATAGAGCGAAACGAAAAGGAAATCCGCATCATGAAGGCTGCACTGGATGGCTACGACTACTAGACATTTGAAATGGCCATCACCAATACCTATTGCCTATCGGTCGTCGCCTATCGGCCATCTCCAAGCACACACACCGCACACTGTTTTGCAGCCCTGGCATTTATAGTGAATATTTTGTAATAGTTTTTATTTTGGCCAAAGCCGAAATACAATGGTTATTGGCGTCTTTCCGGCGGCCAAACTCGGTGTTTTGGCCATCAAGCAGATCAGCAAACCCATTGCCAATGTGCTCAAGTCGAATGCCAAGTCCAGCCCCTTCTTCAGGAAGTACATCTGCATGCCGCCGGCCCAGTGTAAGTCTCATATCAGCTATGATGTGATTCGATTTCATTAAGGCCTCTCCAATTTCGATATTCTACAGTCTACAATTGGGTGGAGGTAAAGACCAAGATGTGGGCCCTGAACATGGGTGGGCGGAGTGTCAATGTGCCGCCCCTGAACGAGGCCATGGCCATCGAGCTGGGTGCCAATCTTCTCGGCGAGTTCATAATTTTCACTATCGGCGCTGGTCTGCTGATATTTGAGTACTCGCGGTAGGTAGCCTGAGCTTCCATATGCATTGATTGTGTAGTTTCATAGTTGGTTCTTCTCTCTTCCAGCCAATCCATAAAGGAAACCAAAAAGACCGAGGAAATCCAAATGGAGAAAATGCAAATGACGAATACGCTGACGGAAATTAACTTTCGTCTGGAGCGGCAGGATGCACAAATCCGTGAAATGACGAGGGTCCTGGCAGATTTAGGTCTCAATCAACCAGCACTTGTGTTTTTCCAATTAATCGAGCCTTTCTTTGCCTTTCCGTTTAGATTCGCGCAACATTTTCCGATGGAGCAAGGAGCGCCTGCAGGAGTACGTGCCCTTCGATCCGAGCACACCGGATCAGAGTGCCAGCGCGAGGAATCCCAAGAAGTACGAGGGCGTCTACGATCCCACGGGGGGCATGGCGTTCAGGGCACTGAACCTTCTGGAAACCCAAGTCTTTGTCGATGGTGGCAACCAAAAGGCCAAGGAGGCGCTCAGGCACATCGATGAAGTGGCCGAGCAGCTGGAGCAATCGTTGGGCGAGGCAGCTGGCACTGTGATGGCTGCACCGCCGGCGAGAGCGGTCGAGCAATGACATCCGCAACAACTGGAGCAGGAGCTGTCGCTGCTCATGTATGCCGTGGCCCTGGAGCAGTAGAGGAGAGCCAGAGCCAGAGCCAGAGCTGCCCACACTCATGATCAAATCGCGTGTTACCATTACGAACTAAGTCTAAGCTTAAAGTCAGTTGATGATTGTACATTGCTAGTTGTATTTATTAATTTTTATTGTTACCAAAACAAAACTGAAGAGAGATGCAAAACAGTTGACCAAATGTGAGTGTGGATGAGTGGTGGTGATGTCTACTCCTGATTGAGCAGTGTCTGAAGCTGATGCAACTCCTCGCGGGAGGGTATCAGATCGCCGATGTAGTCGCCGAAGGAGATGCAAATGTGAAAGAGACTGCGACGCACAGCACCGCGTAGGACGCTGAAGCTGGAGCCCGGACCACGCAGATTGCTCGCCACGCTGCTCAGCTTGTCCAGCTCGCCCTTGAGGCGACTAATCGCCTTTATAATGTCCGGCAGGTCGTTCTGCACCACACCAAATTCATCCTCCTTAAGCGAGAGCACGCATATCTGAGACAGGGCTTGGACAACGTACACCAAAGTCAGCGAATGGGTCAGCAGGAACGTCGTCTTGGCGCCCTCGGGCTCGGTGAAGAGATAGACAATGCCGGGCACACGATTGATCAGCAGCTGGATCGACTGTTCCATTTGCATGGAGGCGCGTTCACACCAATTGGGCACTCGCCGTATGCTGTCCACAGGTCGATCGATGAGAGCATTGCGTCCAGGCGAAACCATCGGACGAATGCCATGCATCTGATTGTACTGCCGTGTGAGCACCCGCTCCGCCATTAGACTGGCACTGACGCTGTCGCTGATTGGCGCCAACGGTGGACTGCTGGGCGAACCCTTGAGCACACTTATCTTCTGCATGGAGTCGATCAGTTCGTCGGTGAAGCTGCCCAGCAGGGTGAGGCATTGGTCGCACAGTGCACGCCAGTTGGCCGGACGATTGCCCGGTTCGGTGAGCTGGAACAGTTCCGCACGCTTCTCCACGTCTCCCGTGGTGACCAGATTGTGCAGATATTTGGCAGCCAGGCACTGGACAACGTAATCGTTGGTCAATCCGAGGGCAGCGACCACAGTCACCTCTTTCTCCTGTACGAATGGCGCGCGATTCTTGGTCACGGCCAGAGGAAACTCCTCGGACAGGAACATGCTGTAGAAGCAGCGCATGAGGTGCATGTTGCTCAGTATTTGGGCAGTGAGCAGCCAGCCGTAGAAGAGCAGTCGCCCGTTGGTGGCCACGCCAAAGAAGCCTTCGAGGCGCTCATCCAAGTCCACGGCCAGTAGGTGGCTCAGCCTGTGGCACACCACACGACCGAACAGCCAGAAGAGCAGCGTGTACGCCAGCGTGGGCACGAGCGACTTGAACAGAGATCGGGCCATCGAGCTGTAGAGCAGCTCGCGCAACTTCTCGCCCCAACAATAATTCACGATGGGAAACTCGATTTCGACCTCCTGCCGCATGTGCACCGAGACGAAGTAATAGCAGCCCGCGAAGATGCCCATGCCCAGCAGGTACACGTGGTAGGCGCTGATGCACTCCTGGCCATAGCACCTGTACCACAAATGTCTGAGAAATGAAAATAATAAGATTAGAATTTGAGACTGAATTCTGGCACGTGGTGTACCCACCGATAGTCCGTGTGCATGTAGCCCGTGTACAGCCATGCTGTGAGGCAGCCCACGAGCAGATGTGCGCCCAGGAAGAGCAGCTTGCGTGGTCCATAGTGCACCAGCCAGCGGAATCGGCTGGCACAGTACGATCGCTCGGCCAGGTGCTGCTGGCACAGGATCACGCCGTACAGGACAACAGCGCCGATGAGTGGTATGCTGGCGAACCAGGTGTAGAAGCTGCACACCAGACTCAGCGTGCTCGTGATCCAATGCAGCGGACGCAGCAATTGAAAGTTAACGAACAGCAGGAAAATGGTCAGCAGCACGAACTGGATGCCCACGGTCAACAGCACGGCCTGCAGACATCGGCGGAACAACAGCAGCTTGCAGGCATTGATCGTTGACAGGTGGGACATTGCAAGGCAACGCTTTCATTAATATCTTTACTTATATTTGAAAATTCGCAAGAAATCGCAATAACAAGCCGGCAACAACGCGCCTAGAGCTGCCGCACCATCGATTACACAATCGCTAATATCGATTGTTTTGCTTTTTCAGCCCTGGACTGCAGCGCGCGAATTTTTAGCGCTACCTTACAGAAATAAGATAAATATACTCTACTAATCTACTAAAGGTAATCAATTAAATACTAGACATTTGTTTTGATTGAAATAAATCAATTTAAATCAACTACCAAAATCTGCAATTCAATGAAGGAAAACCATTAAGCCCAAATTGATCTTGGAGTCCTCCTCGAATCAATGCTGGCCATGACAAAGTTGATCTATTTAAAAAAAAACGCATTTGCCCGCCCAATACTTCCGACCAGTGAGAGAGGAACTGAGCTCATTATTGAAACGCAAAAATGAGTTGGAGGACGTAATTTAGTTTGACAAATCTCTCTTTGATTCGAATGCTTTAATCTGGCAAAAGTATGTCAATCAGTTTGTAAAAGAGATATATAACATTTTTGTTGCCATGTAGCAAATGTGTAGTTACTGGGTATGAAGAGTTATATTTGAATTGGTATACTATAAAAATTACATGATATATTTTGGTATGTTTCTGAGGGTCCGATGGGGTATAACTTTTACACAGATCCGCGGTCACACTGCATTGCAAAAGTCGGCGGACGTAAACAACGCAACCTTGTCGAATTTTTTTCTGAATTCAGAAAATTCCGTTGATATTTCCCACAAAAAAAATATCCATATCGACAGTGTGGGAAACTCGGGCCGCGACAACGACAAACACACAGAAATAATGTCGGATTTTTGATAAATTAAGACAAATTTGTTGCGTTCCGTTGAAATCTACCAATATCCATATACAAAATATCAATATCCCAAGTGCATGGAATTTTGGCCAGCTCAGTCGACAAGAAGGCCATCAAAAAATATTCCCAAACAAATGTGTCCATGCACAGCGGATGAATAAATAGTGTAATTATTAGGTGGGTGCCAAATACAAAAATCAAACAAATAAGTGTAGCAAAATACAGTTGGAGCTGAGAAGAAAAAAATTATTCGTGTGCGCGTATGGAAAAGAGAGCGCAAGAGAGAGGGAGCACGCGAGCGAGAGAGTGAGAGAGCACAGAAAGCAAGCGACAAAAAAATTTGTGTAATTAATTCATATTTAATTGCTATTTGGTGTAATCGGACTGCGACGCGACTCTCGTTTGTGTGCCTAATAAACATTTGGGAGCAAAATGCAGCTGCCAAATAAAGAGTGTGCGGTGTGTGTTGTGTAGTGTAATGCGTATTGAGGTCACTTTGTACATATTATAACAGCAGTAAACCGCAGCATAGGCACGCGTTTTCCCTTCGCTTTATGATTGCATCTGTGTGTAGTAGTGCGTGCGCGTGTGTGTGTGCGCGATTGCTCAATACTAATACCAACAACAGGCAAAGGCAAATCGCTTTGCTAGTCAACGGCCAACGGCTACACTACACCACCAATTCGTTTTCATCCCACTGCCCAAGGCAAACAGCTGCTGCTTCTGCCACAGCGACTCCCTGCTTTGTTGCTGCCTTTTGTGTTGTTTGTCTCTGCTGACTGCTGATCGTTGGAGCATAACCCGAGGGCAGGTGGTGTCCACAGAAATAGATACGAATTAATTATACAAAAATGCCATGTTTCAATTTCATACAATTTGGTATTTAATACACGCCAAAAATACTTACATATGAGACCGTGCAAATAACTCAGAAGCAACAAAAAACGTACAAGATGGAAAGAGTGAGAGAGCGAGTGAGAGTGTGTGTGTGCGGGTGAATCGTTGTGGTCTACACACCCCACTCCACTCCATCCACATCTCACCCCTTCCATTAACCATCCCCCAACTCCCCCCTCTGGTAGTGACTGGCCTGGTGTTCGTCTTCATGCTCCATTCACCTACTTTTACGCGTTGTTCGCTCTTTGCTCTTCGCTCTTTTCTGCCGTTGACTGCGCCGCGACGTTCGTTTTCTGAATTCCAAATGAAGTCATGAGCAGAGCAGCTTGTACTAAAAGCAACAGCAGCAAACAGCGCAGCAGCTGCGGCAGAAAGCAGAAGTGGCCCCAAGGCAAAAATACAAATGTCGTTGTCGCATTATTACAGCAAAGAAATAAAACAACAAAAAGTGAATACCAAAAAAAACAACAACCTACAACAACAGCAAAAAAAAAGTGAAATTAAGTGCTTTTAAAAAAAACAGAAACAACAACAACAATTACCAAATAAAACATGAACATGGCGGCCGCGTCTCGTTTACACAATAACTCAAAATTAATTTAATATGCTGGCAAATGAGCAAAACGAAAACTACGCTAAAAGGTGAGCAGATAGCAAAAATACGCGCGAGTACATATATAGGTAGTGGCAGAGAGGTGCGGCGGCAGCTGATTGCCCACGTTTATGCGGGTTCGTTTATTGCAATGTGTTAGAGGTGTGAGGATAGTGCGTGCGTGTGCGTCCGTCCATGCGTGCTCAGAGAGCATAGTAAACGCATAAACCAATCATATCGTCTCAGGTTTACAGCTACAAAACGGCCAATTGGCTTCTTCATTATTTACGCATCGTATAAACGTGCAGATTGTCTGTGCGTGTGTGTGTGATTTGTCGCCCTGTAATTTACACAGACACACTAGAATAGTAGAGGAAATCAATGCAAAGTTAGTGCTAAAACGCAATTTAATACGAGGCCGTGAGTCAGGGTCACTCAGAAACCCTATAATCGAAGTAGCACTCCCATGTGAACGGGTTTTGAAAGGGCCTCCAAAAAGATATTTACTGCTGAATAAACTACTAAATCGTTCATATGTTCTTTTAAGAATCAAACAAAGATGTTGGCCTCTAATAAACGAATCTCTTTGTAATCCTTTTTATATTGCAGGCCCTAAGTCGGAGGAGTAGCTTTTAAACCGCTACTGTTAGCATCATGGCTGCAACATCTGCTGGCCAACAGCAGCAGCAACATCAGCACAAATTGAATATGATCGGGAGTGCTGAAACGGTTGCCAGTGAGATGCACCTCCAACAACAACAGCAACAACAGCAGCAGCATCAACAGATCCACATGTTTAAGCAACATCAGCACATGTTGCCACTGCATCAGCAGCAGCAGCAGCAACATCATCAGTTTTTCCAGCAGCAACAGACAAAATTTGTATCGCGGGTCGTTACAAATGCAGCAATACAACAGCAACAGCAGCAGATGCAACAAATATTACCAGCTGGTTTGGTTAATGGCAATGGAAATGGCAACATGATGCAAACAACAAATCTGCATCAGCAGCAACTGCAACAGCAGCAGCAGCAGCGCAACAGTCAGCAGCATATATTTGTCTGTCCTACAAGCAGCCCCCAAATACTCCTTCAACATCAGCAGCAGCAGCAGCAACAACAAACGAAACTCCGCCAGGCGCAAGTAAAGTTGCCAGTAAAGTCAACATCAATTGTTGCAGCAGCAGCAGGAACGACAGCGCCAACTGTTGCAACCAGTGCAACTGCTGCAACAATACTTGCCTCGCGTCAAATGAGTCAAAACAATCAGCTCTATGCCAAGAATGTTGCCAACAAATCCAACACCACCAGCAATAGCAGCAACATGAACAGGAAAAATGTCAACTACAATGGAAATTTGGCTCCAGGCTGGCGTCGTTTAACCAGCAACAATGAAGTGGCCTACATCAGGTGAGTCGTCCACTTCCACTGCCCCACCAACTCCCACAAACCAATGGGGAGATACGTACTACAAGAGAGTGGTGTAGTGTCGTGTCTCTTCCTGCCACTCTGCCACTTGTCGTGGCTGGTTGTGTGGTACTTACATGACATTTACAGCACCGCCGACCGGCTAAAAGTCAATCTGGTTATTGTCTGGCGTCGAAACGCATTCGAGAAACCATAAAAATGTACTATTCGCACAGGAAATGCTACTGTCCAAAAGGGGGCATAGGAGGGGGCATGGAAATGGAATAGAAAACGGTTTGTGTTGCAGTAGCCGATGTCAGTCGATGTTTTTGCAACCAGCAGCAGAAGCAGCAGCAACAGCAGCACCACGAGGCAACGCGCAGCCAAATGTTTACCCGGCATTATCTGCAAGGGGCGGCATTATCATCAAGCACACACATAATTACAAACTCAAATCAAATATTTACACAGATATGTTGAACAGTGCGAGTACGAGTGCGAGTACATGTGCAGATGGATATATCCCCCAATCCTCTCAACGGCTATGAAACTTTTGATAGCCTGAAGGTCTTTAGCTTGTTTTTTTTCGGGCTTGAGAGCAAACAGAGCCCCTGGGCACTGGGCCCTGTTGTTGTTGGGTAATTGTTGATTTTATAAGTGGCTCTGGCACTTCTCGAGTGGCTTGACTCTGGGCTCGGTTTTGGTTTTAGGTCCGTGTTCAGAGTTCTGTTCTACGGGATAGTTTCGACTCGCAGCTGTTGTGCGAGTGGTGAGTGTGAAGTGTGCGAACTGGGGGGATTCATCTGTTGGTTTAGGCCAGCCATCGCATGCCTGGGGCAACAGAAACAGCAGCAGCACCACCACCTATCTCCCCACAGATTATGGTTGGAAACTCCTGTGGAACACGAACACACACAACACACGAGTCTTTCTTTCTCTCTGTCATGTTTCTCTGTTTGTTTGCGCTTTGGAGGGGATTTCATTATGCCCGGCAATCATTATTATTACGTATTATACTTTATAACTCTCTTCACCTACCGCCTGAAAGCTTTCTGTCTGTCTCTGACAAACCGTCTCCAGAAGCCACAGCTAATCCTCTGCAGTCCATTTACTTGTGGACTTGGCACCTTGCCACCATGCTCTTAAGCCTTCGCAAAAGAGTGTTATATGACTCTGACCAGAGGTTACGAAAAGCCTCTCCAGTCAGCCTTAAATCTGCGTTTGTTGGAATGTTGTCTTCAAATAGTTTTCATTTGAGTTTAAGCCAAAACAAAATGTGTTTCAAGAATAACCATAAAACCTATAGCTCTAAATTTGTTATAAAATCAAGGGTCTTCCAATGTATTTCCATAAAAACCTTCTGTGCCAGCAAGGATATTTAAAGTTTCGACTATCAAAGCCAGACAACTCCTTCTTTAGCTGTACTTAAACTTATGCACTGGAGCATTACCCTGCCAGGACATACTCTTTGACGGTACCGCTGGGCTGTCGTCGTGGCTGCCGCCTTTCATGGCCCGCTGGCCATGCACTCCGGTATTTACTTGTGCCATTGCGACGACATGACATCGTGTGTCAAGCGTTGTCATTGTCCACCCTGCCACTGGCACTGCCCCATGGCTTGGCTTAGCAGCTGCTGCTCATTTCCACGTTGCGTGTTACTAGGTTCCTGAATTGCTGCTGTTTGCCTTAAAAGTTTTGTGTGCTGTGCTCGCCGTGGAACAATCCCCCTTGCGAATTTTAGAGTTTACTTTTATTTTTTCTTTTTTGTTAGCGAAAAAAGATAACCAGGTGGAAGAACAGGGGAGGAGGAACATATATACTTAGGTACATGAATACCACGTTTTTGTTGAGCTTCCGTCCTCGTCCTGGCCTTGTGCGCCGTGTGTACTTTTTGCTTCAGTTGTATTTCATGTCAAGAATGTTTCAGCGGAATGTGCGCTGGCATTGTCGGAGGTAGGGAGGGCCGATTTGTCCACTAAATCAATAATTGCTGGGCAAGGCAAGCATTTGAATGTTTGCTCAAGTGCTAAATGACTGTGACCGGGTCAAAGTCAAAAGCAAGAGGCCGCCCACTGTGCCCCTGGGTCGTCGTATGTAATAACCGTACATCCATCTATGCGTTTATAAATCATAAATCGGAAACAGCAGCTGGAGATCGAGCCTCGAGCACGGAGCACCCCGCTAAGCGTATTGCAAAAGTATGCGCAATGGAACAGAATTTGACAGGCAACTGAGAAGAGGCAGTAAGTCAGCAAACAGTTTTCCTATTTTCCTTACACCGCGCAGCACCCTGCCAAGAGGTACAAGCCTGTAACTGCCGCCTGTCGACCCGACCCGAACCTCTTTGTCTGCACCTCCCGGTTTGCCTTTGAGAAGCGCGTCTTTCAGCGTAGGTTGCATCAGCAGTTGGCCTCCCACTCCGTTGCCTGCATTGTCAGTCATTCAAACAGACAGACGAAATAAAGACACTCGGGGGCCTTTGAAATGTGTTTATTGTACTTACTTTTAGGCATTTGTTGCGAATCCATCCGCTGGCTGCTTTGCTTGTTGACATTGGTCAACGCCCACCACACAAATTTGTCGCTGGCAATATCGGGAGAAAAGTACATAGTTCTAGAAGGAACTAAAAGTTCTGACTTGTTTTATATTTGAAGAGTGGGGCCTTGATATAAACTTGAGGAACTATTATTAGAAAGGAACATCCCAGAAAAGTAAACAAATATTTACAGGACTTTTACTGATCGGGTTATCCATCCTCTTAGATGATTTCAGTTATTTTCCTTTATTAAAAAACGGCAATCTGCAGCAAACGGGAGGGGGACCTCTTTGTGGGTTGTTATGGCGCAACGAGTCTGGCTTTCTTTTTGCTTATCTTCTGTCAAGGACATGGCCCAACAAAGACAACAAGTAAACTCTTGTAAAAGGATTGGATGGAATTGTCTGTGTGTCTATGCCGTGTCCTTGTCTGGCCGCTCCTGTCACTGCCTTTGTGCCGTCATTTTTTACAGTTTCATGCGCCGCCTCTGGGCCAAGTCTCAGGTCGCAGTTCGGTTCGGTTGTTGTTTGAGCCGTGTTTGGGATGGGATTATTAATTTAGTAATAGGCTCTGCTCTGCTCTGGCTCTGTCTGCAGCTGTCGGCGTCTACTCTTTTCGTGGCTCGAGGGTGCACTCAAGGTCACATAGGGCGTAAAGCTTTTCCACCTTTTCACACAGTTGCCCAACGCCATGCCAGACCCCCAGACGAAGGGCCTTAAAGTGGAGACACACGGGAGTGGGTGCTGGCAGGTTGGTGGCTGGCTGATGGCTGGCCACTCGACTTTGGCACTTGGCGTTTTGTGTGTAATTTATTAAATTATTTTAACTCGTTAACTCGACGCCTTTTATGTGGTTACAGTAAAAGGAAAAGAGAGGGAGAGCGGGGTTATTAGCGCATTTTCAGCAAATAAGAAAGAGTAAAAGAGTTCCCCGGAGTGCGGCAAAGAGCGGGAGAATTTAATGAGCTAAGTCGAGCTCTTCTGCCACCTCCTGCGGCTAGTAATCGGCTGAGGCTGCTGCTGCTGCTGCCTCTTAAGCCTGCCTCTTGCCACGATGCCAGCTGCATACAAATTGAGCCATAAGCTTTGCTGGCGTTGATGATGATTCCCTTCGGTACTCGGCTCTCGGTTCTGCTCCTTCGTGCCGTCTGCCAATCGACTTGCCATCGATTTTTCCAATCTCGGAACGAACCATGGGGCCCCCTCTTTCTCCCTCTCTCTCTCTCTCTCTTTGCTAAGTAGTTAAAAATAATTAATAAAACAAACCAGAAAACCAGTTTTGATGCTGCTGCTGCAGCCATTGATGAAGATGATGAGGGCTCTGGTATGTCATGTGGGGTTCCATTCGATTGAGGCTTGGGAACAACTGCAGCTCCTTGCTGTATGGAACGGAATCGGATCTTCTGTTCTCGCAAAAGGACGGGCTAAAAGGGCCACTCAATTGACAATTCGCATACTCGTTTAACCCGTAACACGATTCTGGTTGTTGTTGAATGTTGCTGTCGCTCAATTATATTGTTGTAGCTGTTGTCTCTTTTGCTGCTTCTGCTCCTACCCAGCTCCTGTTGCTGCCGCTGCTGCTGTTGGTCCTGCTGCTGTCGTCGTTGTCGTTTCATTTAATGCCCTTGCCGCTTTCACACTTCATGCATTATTCAGATTTCCCATACGAATACGAATACGGGGTTCAACAGAATGGGTTCCAGTATGGGTAAGGGGTGTGAGTGCTGTAAGCCCAGCAACAAAACTTGAGCCCTGACATCAGTCGTCGTCTCTCTTGAGTGCCACGACTCCGGCTCCGATACTCCTCGAACGGCGTCATCATCAGCGCCCTTGATTCCTTCAACGTGCTCACACTTTACAATTAATAAGCAGCTCCGTTTTTTCCCCTCTTCTCCCTCTCTTTCTCTCTCTTACCCTCTTGTTTTTTTGCGTTATTTATTCTGGTTTTTTTTGTGATACCCTTTAAGCGGGTAATGCTAGTATGAGTGCTCGTATGACTGGTGTGAGCAATATATGTACATATTCTGGACTGCCAAATAATATCAGCCATGTCTATCACTTATAGATCTTATAGCTCTCTGGCTATCTAAGGAATTTCTATATACTAAAAAGAGCACACTTCATAGGATTAATTAAAGGTACATATCTAAGTATGACTGGGCACACCAGATAGATCGGTTGATGATATCGTTAAGAACCGAGTATCAAACACAACATTACGATATGATAAATGCTAAAAGTTTGTTGAAGCGAGGATCATTGTATGTATGTAGGTTGAGAATATTGTTTGTAGTAATACAGATATCGTCATTCTAAATACTCCTTACAATTGTATTATAATTGAACCTTAAAGGGTATCCAAAGATTCTCCAAACCCATTAAACTTCCTTTCTGTTTTATTTTGCGAATTTTTTAAAACCCCGGCAGCGCACATGCGACAACCCATTTATGTCGGCAGATTTGCGGTCAGGCGTGGCCCAGCGGTAGGGGGGTTTTGTTGGAAAGGAGGAGAGGAGCAGGGGTAGCCGATAAGTGGAAAGGGTAACCAAAATTGAGAAAGGAAAAACCGCCCTGGCCAAGGCCTCTCTGGTCCTCTCCTTCCCTCTAACCCCTTCGCAAGTCCTATAACTGGATTCATTTGGGGTTTATTTTTCTCTGTTTTTGTCGGTATTTAAATTTCAAAAAATTTAAATCAATTTTTTTTGCCTTTTCATAATTGTTTTGATGTCGCATAGGCGCGTTCTGTTCAAACGGAATGGATGACGTAGTAGTACTCGTTTTGTTTTTGTTATTTTGCATGAGGTGCGGAGTTCTGTTCTCCTTTGTTCGCTTCGTTTCGTTTCATTTATAGGGAGTGTGCTCTGGGTACAAAGAGGGGAGAATATTTTCGTCTTCATTGTTAAGATTGTATGCCAAATTGTATCTGTATCACATTTTGTATCTTACGGCATTAAAGATGCGCATATGGAAAACAAAAGCAAATCGTAATCTCTGGGAACCATGCCGAAAGAGAGGGAAACTCACTTTTGGATGGAAATCCAAGGTTTCAATGGGGATTAGGGGATGGAACTTAAAAGGGGTTTTTTGTGGGGGCTCTAGATGAGGCTAAATGTGAAGACATTCTTGAGCGAATGTTGCCCCTAACAAAGTACTCAACAAAACACGTGGGAGCCCTGTAACTTTAACCAAAAATTCTCATATATTAACCAAGAACCCAAAACCAAAACCAGTTTGAATTATGCTACGATCGGATCGCACTTATTCGACAGACAGACAGACAGCGAGCGAGCAATTCTGATTGGTATTAATTTATGTGAAAGAGAGAGAGAGAGAGAAGAGGAACAGAGAGCAGATCAGAGAGTCCCCTTACATTGTCATGTTAATGTCCATTATGTTAATGAGCTGTTAATCAAACACTAGCTTATTACCCTGTTGTCGTAGTTGTTGTTAGCCTTTGCCTGGCCCCCACTGCCTGTCTGTTGTCTGATGTCTGTTCTGTTCTGTTAGTTAGTGCGGCTAATTGCACCCTCGAGAGGGTGGGCTTGGTTATGGTAGAGGTGGCACAGGGGATAACCTTGAAGTAATTGCATGATTTCCATAAAACTAATTGTGCGTTTAAATACTGAATAATGGAATGAATTCCAAGTAAATCTAGAGCACTCTTGCTTGTGTATCTTACCATCTCATCTCATATCATATTTTATTTATGTCTATTGCAGTCCCACGGGAAAAACGCTTCGCACGCAATTCCAAATCAAGGACTATCTGCTGACACAGGGTACCTGCAAGTGCGGTCTACCTTGTCCGCTGCGACCGGAATACCTATTCGATTTCAATGCACAGGTAAGCCCCATTAATCCGTGATAATCTACTCAAAGCTGGTATGGAATGAATGAGCGAAAGAATGCCGACAATGATCATGGAAATTGAAAGTCGAGAAAATGTTTATGTTCTGAATCCTGAGCGTAACTCTCGCTGCGACTGATGCCATTCTGTGATTGCGTTTTCCGGGCAGCGCATCTGATTCAATGCAGGGGGAAGCATCCCGTGATTGCTGTTGATTGTGATCACGCTGCCATCACTATCCGGGCCGCGCTCTCAACTTGTTTGTCTCATAATTGGCTGTAAATGCCGAGGAGCGCCATGAATGAGCCAAAGCCAAAGCAAAAGCTACGGCTAAACCGAAAGCTAAAACTGAAGCCAGAGCTAAATCTAATTGAATGTGCACTGAGCTAACTAGCTGGAAAGAGCGAGAGAGGGGATGTGTGCACTGAGCTAACTAGTAGCTGGAGAGAGCCCGTTGGCGAGACAGAGAGAAAAGGTAGAAGGCAGTAAATAGGAGTGGGCTGGAGAAGGGAGAGGAGAACACAGCATTCAACGGACTTTCACTGAGCTTTGCTGCAATGTAACTGCAGCTCCACCACACCTCTTCCAGCCCTCTCATCAGTGGGGCTTCCAGATTAACGCAAAATATTTGTAAAACCAGTTTGACAACAAATCGACTGTGACGACGACGTCGACGACGATGGCAGCACGACGTTGACGTCGACTGCATAATAACAGAGCAAACCCCAAGTTGGATACTCTCCATTCCCCCCTCGGCCCACCCTGGCATTGGTGACCATCTGCCGCTTGGCTCTCTGGATCAGTTCCAATTTGTATATACACTATCTACACACTATGCATGTGTGTGTGTGTGCAGTGTAAATCGCAGTGAAATCGCCTGCAATAAGATTAATTTTCAAAAGCAGCAGCAGCAACAGCAACAAAAAACTGTTAACGGTAAATCACACCCAGACATTCGACATGGCCATGTGCCGTTGTTCTGCTTCTGCTTCTGTTGCTGCTGCTTCGTCTTCTTGTTCGTCTTTCGTCTTTTTCTTATGATTATTTTTGCTGCAGAGCAGCCGCTGCTGCTGCCCTGCTTTGCTTTTGTTATTGGCTTCTGTTCTGTCTCGCCTTTCAGCATTTGTCTCTTGTCTCCCTTCCTCGCTCATTTGCCTTCTCTCCTTCAGTCATCAGCCGAGGTCATTAATTTGAGTTTATGGTTTCCCTTTGGTTTTTTGCGTGACGTTGATGCCCGCCGTCAAGCGCCAACGCCCCGACCCCGACTTCGACACCGTCTCTCATCCCATGACTTAGCCAACAAGCGCCTGGCCGCCCCCGCGCGCACATTCAATGTCCTTTTAATATGCTCCCCACTAAAGTTTGAGAAGTGTGTACACTTGGAGAAATTTTCAAGAAAATTTGTGCACACTTTCTGCTGCAAAAGTTTTATTTCTGCCAAAAAGAGTTTCACTTTCATTGGAATCTCACTCTCGCCCTCTCTCTCTTTCTAGCTGTTTTGCTTTTCCCCCTATTTTTCGCACAGTGTACACAGCACACGCATTTTGAATTGAATGCCTGGAACTGTGAAAATCGCGCGCCAGCGTTGATTGTCGTCTTTTGTTGGCGCTGCTTATTCTGCTTCTGCTGCTGCTGCTGCTGCTGCTCCGTCAATCGATATTTCGGTGCAATGCACTTATGCCCCCTCTGTTTGCCATTCCCAGCCCCCGCGCAGCCTCCATTTTGAGTGCGCAAAGCTGATCTAAAATGCGTATTATCGAAAGGCAGGGGAAACCGCAATTTGTTTACTAAACACTTCATTGTGCCACCGATAGTGCTTTTCCTCTCTCTCTCTCTCTCTCTCTCTCTCTCGCTCTGTCTCTCTCTTGCCACACATTCTCTTGACCACAAGAGTCGTTGGACTGTCTTCTGTGTTTGTCCGTGTGCGCTCGGCTGGCTATAACTTAGCTTTATGTACAAAGGTATTGGTGATTTTTTGGCACGTCTCATGTTTTTGGGGGGGCACAATCAACTCAACTCAGCTTCCTCCATACTGCCACTGCCCCTTTTTGCGTTTCGTTTTGGCCATGATTGATGGTCCCACATAATGAAGTCTACGCTCGTTGATTTGTTCGCATTTCTGTTTTGATTATTGCCATTTTATGCTGTCGTCTTGACTGCTTTTAGCAGCCTTTCTTTTGTGCTTTAAGGTGTGGTAGGTTAGGGATTTCATTCTGTCTCTGTCACTGTTTCTTTCTCTCTCTCTGTCGCTCATTCTCTCTTCGTGTGTGTTTTTTTGTTTGGTGAAAGTCTCTTTTGGCCAGAAAGCTAGACAAAGCGGCTGTCACTCAATGGAGCTACAGCGCTGTGGAGTTGTGGAGCTGCAGAGCTGGAGTTCGGATTGAGCATTGAGCATTGAGCCATGGTATCGTATGGCAGCAGGCAGGCCTGCTTGAGGTTGAGCTAGAGCCAGCGAGCAAATTATGATGTCGGAGGAGACAAAGTTTCGAGTGTTTCGGCTGCGATTGGAAAGTTGAGGCGCAAACTGAAAAGGCCAAATGTAGCAGCAGCAGCAGAAACAGCAGAGGCCGAGATAGACAGAGGCAGCGGCAGCGGCAGGCATGATGGCAGACAATTAGAGTTGAGACATAACTAGTTTTGAGTGGCTCCATGCACTCGTACTCGAATCTGATATCCAATTTGAAAAGTCTGTAAAACAAAAAACAACAAAAAACTGTACACTTTGAAAGAGAAAAGTTTTTCTCATGCCAGAAAAAAGTGTGTAATCCGATTGGTGTCGCCTTTTTTGCCCAATGCGATTAATGTATAATAAATGGACATAATGGGCGTATACGTAATCCATGCGTTGCGCATGCACCGTGTGTCCCTCATTAGACATGCATCATCGTGTAATTATATCACTCTCTGGTTGCTCTTTAATCATTATCTATATGTATGTACATACATGTGCGCACACATTGTATTTTCCAGTGACTCAGAAATCGGTTTATGGAATGACGCAGAATGCTTTGTTGTCTGTTCGGTTCGCAGCTCTCGATTCTCGGTGCTCGATTCCGCTGCAATTGTCGATAATTAAACAATTATTTACAATTGAAATTCTCAATTGCTGAAAGTGCAAATGGAAAGCCGAAAAACAAAACAACAACAAAAGATTGACTCGTTCTTTATTGGTTTTTTATTTGGTTTTTGTATATTTTCCGATAAGTGCGAGACAATTGAAATTGATTTTCCACTGGCGATAAAACAAAAAGCTGAGAGCATTCGAGTCGTCGCAACAGCTGCTGCGGCTGCTGCCTCGTCCCCAATGGACTTCTATTTCGAGAGCATTGCACGCAACAGCAGCAGCATTGTGTGGCAAGTGGCACAGGCCTCTGAGTTGGCGAGGGCAAGTACCGGGACCCAGGTCCCAGGCTCTCAGGCTCCCAGGCAGGTCTCAAGCAAACAAATAAAACTTTGGCCCCAGTTCTCGACATTCTACATTCAGATTCCATTCCGACAAATGCGAACCAAAAACAAACAAACAAACTTGAGAAGGTCAGCGTGCGCCGAACGATGTCAGCGGCATTGTTGCCACAAAATTTACAGCTTACAATAAAAATAAAAGCAATATTAATTGTTGTTGCTGGTTCGTTTCTCTCTGGCTGCTGTTTACGACGCACACACGCAAAAGTCAGGGAATCACAAAGTCGGATGGTTTGATTGCCCTGAATGTGCCTGAAGGTTGGCTGCCGGACAATCTGTTTTGTTGCTATCGTCCATGTCAGGGCCAGAAAACGAAAGTAAACCCACAGATCGCATCGCATCGCATCGCATCGCTCTACATTTGCATACTCTACCAGCGGGGTAATGTGATTTAGTGTTGAATTTTGCACTTATAGGTTTGATAATTTCATTTATAGACGCCATAGATATAATCGGCTCCCTAGATAAGCTTTTGGCACAGAAAAACAAACCTTATCAGCCCTCTAGATAGACCTTTTTTTTCAGCAGGCAATTCGTATCAAATGTCTGCCATAGAAAGGGCATCACCAGCTTCGCTCGTACACAAATTCAGCCGCCTGCTCCTATCTTGTTTGTGCTGTCATTCATTCATTCAGGGCTGTCCCCGGGGTAGCCTCCGAATACCATTTCCATTTTCATTTCTATTCCCATTCCCAATCCAAAATTCTGACGCACACCGAAAGGCAGCCAAGCACGTCCGGAAAGTGGCGTCCATCAGCCCCAATCTGATTCTCCCTGGTTTTTGCTGGTGCTGCTGCTGTTGCTGTTGCACTTTTCGGCCAATTTGCATTTATAAACATTTGCAGAGAGGGCGCAAGCACGAAAACTGTGGCAGACAATTTAGCATATTCATGGAACAACAACTAAAACAATTAGGCGGCGCAATGGTGGCTGGTGGCAGGTGGCAGGGATGCAACATACCTTCCTGCCTCAATCTTAATCTTTCAGAGAAATACGCGAATAGTACTCACTCCCCTACCTCCCTCCCTCCTGAAGTCCGTCGTTTGTTCTCTGTCTTTCCTTTTTTTCGGGGGTAATTTGCACGTCACTCGAATGAGAGCAGGAAGACCTGAGACTTGCCTTGTCTCGAGACATGTCCTCTGCGACTTTCCTTCGTCTTGACTTCATTCCACACCACTTGCCTTCACTGCTGCCACACCACACCACACCACACCACACCAAACCATTCCACACTCCAGTCCACTTTTAGTTTAGTGTTCACTCTACTGGTTTCCTTTTTCGCCCTCCGAAAAGTTTTTAGTGGCAAAAATTGAATTTGCGAGGAGAGCGAGAGAGAAGAGAGGCGATGCCGCCTGGGTTTTTATAGAAACTTCATTAGTCCAAATTAAATGTTGTACGCGCCATGAGCAGACAGCGTGGTGGCAGGGAGCCCAGGACCCGAACCAGAAACCAGAAAAGGAACAGATGAATGAGCAGCAGCATCAACAGCAGGGAGGGAATGAACTGGAAGATGTGTCCTCAAGCAGCGAACGCTG